GTCGGGGGCCCAACTCTTTCTGTCCCCAAGCGAATCCCAGCGCTGGGAAAGGTGCTACTTTTCATAGCCAGCTAGGGGTATATACCATAAACACACTAAAACAGGCATTATTTATAGACCCAGTCAAAGGTATATTCTTCAATTTGTTGTCTAATTAACAAAGTACGTATGGTGGCCAGAGATATACCTATTACTATAACCAAAAGTAATAAAAACCGAGGAATATGTTGGTATAAAGAAATAATAACTTATTTGTAATTATGGTTGATGGTCTTTAAATAGTTGTTAAAAGCCGTCCATTAAATTTTATTCATTTTCTAGCATTAAAAACAATCAAGATAGGTTAACTCTTTGATACCAAGGAAATATTGCTATTTAAAAATAAAAATCGAATGTTTTTCAGAGGTCTTAAGCCTAAAATGAACCATATAATTAGCCCATAAAATTAAAACTAATTGAAATAATTACAGATTAGCTATTTAGTATGAGTCAAAGAGTTTAAAAGTCCGATTAGTTTCAAGGTAGGAAAAAATATAATAATCCCTTCTTTTGCTTTAAGGTCTTTATAACAAGAGTTAAATATAATATAATACCCATGTGTTCGACTTTCCAATTCAAAACGTAGTTTGGGAGTTTATAGGTATTTTTAAAAAGTACTGTTAATAACCCGTAGATAGATGGTTATGCGAACCATTTAGATAGCACCCTTCAGTGCCCCCGGCAAAAAACTCTTAATTGGGCGCCCTCTGTCGGCGCACATGCAAATCAGCCCCTGATTTACAGTTAGTCTAGCCGCAGTCTGGGTCTCTTTATTTGGGCGCCACTTACCGATTTCGGACTGAAATCCCACCAGTTTTCACTCTTAGCTCGCTAGATGAAACCCCAAAACAAACAAAATTATAAACTAGAGGGGAGAAATTAATTGGCTTCGAAATTAAGACAAATAAGCATATCGGCTGTTTACCGTTTACCGTTGGCCAATATCAAGTCGGCTCTTTTGATATTTTTTTTAGTATTTACAGTTCTGCGAGAGAATCTCCACTGACCGCATTTTTCGCTTCATTCGGAGGCTTGTCCATCATCTTTTCGTGCATTCGAATCTCGAATCTCTCGTATCTTCAATCCACAAATTCGAATTCGCTTTGTTTCCGATTTCATTTTCACCTGTTTTATAGCTGCGCACCTGGGTAAAAGTGGGCACACAAATCGGACAATGAAAAGGAGACAAGAAATGAGATTTTATTATTATTGCTCTATGGCAGTGCTCTGTGGGCTTGACTGCTCGACTGACTGACTGACTGGCTGGCTAACTGATTGATTGATTGATTGCCGGCGTCTCTTTAATTGCTGGTCGATCTGGCGAACAGGGAAAGTGCGGACCGAAAAGCAGCAGCCAACGCACAATCGACCGGGTAAATATTTATCGGATTTATTCGGTTATTCGGCCTCGTGTGCGAAAGAATTGTACAAATTGGAAAGTTTGCAGTGAAATTTTTGGCCATCTAATTACAATTAACGGCAAAAGCGTGATACCCCGCACTAGTAAAGGTTCTTATCAGTGGGTTATATCGTTTCTATATAGTTTTAAAAAATCCTTACTAGGAAATCAATGGGTTCCATAGTTTTTTAAATGCTATCTTGGAAACATTTATTGAATTACTGATCGATTAAAATAGCGATGCGATGTAAGTGTAAGCCAAACTGTGCAAGTTCTTCAATAGAACAGCTATAATAACAGTACCTTTGAAGAGTACTAGCAATTTGGCCTTGAAATGTTAAGGTACTCATTGAGACTAGTACGTTTTTCTGGCCTAGATCAAGTTTTGGAAGTAATAATAACAATGTTAAGGATATTTTTTTCTCGTCCGCATGCTAAACTAAAACTAAAAGTTTATTTAATTTGTGTTTTAAAACATACGTTTACTTTAACATGCGGATAAGAAAACGGCTATGGTTAAAGAATGTCGATAAAATACCCTATTTTGTGTTAATACCAAGGGCTATATTTTTTCAACAATTGGATATCATTGGAAAAATACCATTTTTTATTTATTATGTGTTAATACTAAGTGACAAAATTCTTCATCAGATGGACCTGGACTGGTTTACAAGAGCTTTTTTTATATTTTTTACCCATTTCTTTCTCTAACTGCAATATTTTTGAGGACCCGAACTAGAAATTTAAATAGTTATAAGTGTAATAGCCGCAATAAATTAAGTTTACACCAAATGCTTAAACTACAAAGATTAATTGACTAGTTTCGATGGGTACTTTCAGAATTCTAATTGCAAATTGAGGTTAAATTTTTAGTGTATTACTCTGAAAGAGAACGTATGTATAGTAATCCAGTCTCTAGGAATTTCCATGGTAAACCTATCTAAGTGTTAACATGCCAATCAACCCCCCGTTGGCACTGATCCTTAATGTCTCAATTAATTAGAAAAGTGAAGAATTCGGTTGACAGTGGGCACATTTCTCAGCAGTGGGTCACCGAACGGGCCACGTCCGATTTTCCCCCGATGATTCACGTTCAATGGAGTTGGCTCCATTCCCACCTCCATCTCCATCTCCATCACCAACTCCACCTCCATTTCCATTTCCATCGACATCGACATCGATCTCAGGCACCTCAATTTGCAATGTTGAAACGGCGCCCCCGGGGGTCCCGTGATCGAATGGATCAGAGTCGATGGAGATCGGCAGGTTGCTTGGGTCCAAGTTCGGGTTCGAGGATCAGGTCCAGGGAAATTGGCCGCCCGGCCGTTTATTAAATTTCAATTTGTTTATGGCTTCTTTTCGTGGTCGCGGCCGCACATTTGCGGCCATTTCACGTGGCCGGGCAATTTTGGATCGATCCGTTGGTCCATTGGTTCAATGGTCCATGGGTCCATGGGTCCATGGGTCCATGTCCATGTCCATGTCCATTGGCCCATTCCATTGGCCGGGGGGCGTCAGGTTAAGTGCGATCTGGCCCCAGATACGAGCAGCGCGCTAATGACGAGCATCGACATCTTTATTACCCCGACGGGCTCGTTCGACGAGCTCCAAAAAACCAAAAAAAAAAGATATGTGTACATGCCACAACGAGCAAGGGTAAGAGCCTTTAACAATTGATATTTAACATACGAATTGGTCGGTGGACCACAACGATGACGATGATGATGATGATGACGATGTGACCGCGCCCACTCTGTGTTCTTGTGCCGCCCCACAAAAAAAAAAAGAAGTACAGGGGAACCATCAAGGAGAAGTGGAAGCCCCGAAGAAAGGAAAGGAATTCGGGTTAAGAATTCGCTGGGAAGAATTCCTGCTACTACATAGCCCCTATAATTAAGTCATGTGGAATTACTTAATGACACTACCCTACCAGCTTCGTTTTAATTGGATGGCCAAGTAAAAGTGTTCTCGATATCACAGTAATTATCTTAGGAATGCTTTTCATGGCATGATTAGCCACAGCAGTCAATAATATTTTCAAGATGATTTATTGTAAAGGTTTCGAAACTTTGTTTTTCCTCCAATCAAGAGATCATTAAAATGTGCCATTAATATCTTTAAGCTTCGACATTTAAAGCCCCATTAACATAGGTACAGAAGTCGTTGGCAAATAAATCTTAAGAAAAATATATACCTTTAATTAGATTTAAATAGAATTGACATTCGATCTCTAAAGCTTGTTAATGATCTAGCTCCGCTCCTTAGATTACAACTACCTTTTTTCTTGCCTCCAAGCATCGATTAACGATTGGCAGTCGTCAGGGAAATCGATTGCAATGGGATCAGGAGATCAGTCAATCTTTCATTGCAATCGCTGCAATTTTTATGGCTCCGTTTACTGCCGATCACGACTTTCGCTCCCTCAACCTGCGGTCTACAGAGAATTCGTGCCTTTTGCTCGATATAGCACTTCCTCGTTCTGGTGATTTGTGAATGTTCGCCCATTACGATTGCCGCCCATTAAAAATATACCACAGATACTTTATAGTTGCAAATCAAAAAGTAAGAGTTAAGTATTTCCCTCGCTCAGCCCTCAGTTTATTGTACACATTAGATCAATTAATGGTGTGCCATTAATGGAATGTTATTATAGTATAGGATAGTATAGTATAGTATATAATGTTGATTGGCTTGAATGGGCGTAGAATAACACACATGTGTCGGCACAGTGGGGTGAAAGCGTTTAAATTAGTCATGTTAATAAGGGGAAATACAGCTAATTTCTACTTTCCACCACTGTGCTACATCAATTAGGTATAATTTAATTTGTATGGAAATAAGCCATGTACTAAACAAACATTTTCGGTATTTTTGACTGGTTTTCTTTGGTTGGGTTTGTTGTCCAATGACGCAGCGATCTATTTATAAAGAGGTGGAAAGAGAAAACCTGATAAGTCCCCTGCGGTACTCACCATTTTTAATGCCTTTGGTGATTTCTAATACACAAATCATTGAGGTAGTCCCTTCCGGAACTTGAACTTAACTAACTTTTTACTTTTTTACCTCTCACTTGCAGATCCGATCGCCACGCCCACAGCGCCATTATGTGGAGCCCACAAAAAGGCCCTACACGACTGTGGGACCTTAAGTTTAGTAGCTGTATATTTATCTTACACTTAATGGTAAGTAAGCGGAACTAAAATCTATACAATCTACATTTTCAAGTGTGAACCATAAATAGAAGCAATTGGAACTGGTATCTTATCAACGGGGGTCTTATCTGTACTGCAAATCGAAGTTGTTTGATAAACAAATGAGTTGATTAATGAACAAATCTGATGAGCTGATATTGCAAAAAGTATTGTCCGATTTTTAATGAAATAGATATGAATCTATATTGCAATACATGTTATAATCATTATGAAACTGAAGAATCATTAGTTCATAAATAACATTGCTTTTCATATCTTAGAATTCTTATAAGATCTGATGGCAACTAGGTAGCTTGTTGAGAGGGGAGTATATAAGATCAGAATAGAACCCCCACTTGAAAAACGTTTTCTTATTAGATCAAATGTATATAATTATGAAGGTGTACCTAAGACTACATATACGGTCAGGAACCGGACGCCTAGATGGTCTCGCCCACGGGCTTGATGATCAGCTCGTGAATCTGGACATTGGGCGGGGTCTGGATGCAGTAGCTGACGGCATCGGCCACATCCTCGGAGCGCAGCAGGGGCAGGTCGGGGAAGTGGACGAGGGCGGCCTTATCGATAATCTCAGTGTCCACAGCGCCGGGACTGATGCTCTATAGGTGGTAGAATTGAAAATACAAAGGGATCGATCAGTATGTAACTCAAACAAGTGGTAATCTCTGCCTACTAACCGTGATCTTGGTCTGGGTCTTGCTGTTGTGGAACTCCTGGCGGAGGACCTCTGTGAGTCCAGTGATAGCGTGCTTGGAGGGCGAGTACATGCCCATGGTGAAGCCGGGAATATTGGGCACCCGATGACCGGCCACACTGTTCACGATCACCACATGTCCGTCGTTGACATTGCGCTTCTGCAGAGACTTGAAGGCCTCGCGTGTGCACCATGACACGCCCAGGACATTGGTGTCCAGGATGGCACGCAGATCGTCGCCATTGCCCTCCTTGGTGATGCCGACTCCGGCGCGTACGATGCCGGCATTATTGACCAGGACATCGGCGCCACCCAGGGTGGCATCGATCCAGGCGAAGGTGTCGATCACCTCTTGCTCCTTACTCACATCGCACTTGCGGACATGGAAGCGACTGGCCTGATCCGCCGGCAGTGAGTCCTTCAGCTCACTCAGGCGCTCCTCGCGACGGGCCAGACCCACGACGACCAGGCCCTTGGCCACCAAATCCTTGCAGCAGGCAGCTCCGATTCCCGAGCTGGCACCCGTGACAACAGCAACGCGATTTAGCCAACGATCCATAGTTGTTATGTTTATTTGTGGGTTTACGATTTAATGTTTATCCGGGTCTGAAGACGGCTAATATACACGGTTGGTGTGCGAACGCGACCTGCTCTAGAACTGCTCTTTCATCGCCGACCCCACTTGCTTTTATAAGCCCCCCCGAACAACCGACCAGTTCCGAAGTAAATTGCGAGACTCGAGAGACTATTTCACCACTCGGACTCGATTCGGCCGATCCAAAAAAAAAAAAACGAACTCGCCACCCGGCGTTTTGGATTGTAGCGTAATCGTGAGTGTGCACAAAGCTATAGTATAGTCAGCTTGATCAATTCATTCTAGAATAATAGTACACAATACATACTATATGCGGTGCGATAGCCCTCTCTATTTTTATGTGGGAATGAGAATGAGTGGAACTCATAATGGGTCAGCACTTTTGTTTGGGGCTTCTGAAAAAGAACTACCAAATCACAATTAATATGTTTTTTTTGGCATTTTAATACTTGTTAGGGGTTTGATGAAACACGAACTAGAGAAAAAGATAAAGACTTTAATTTGAAGCGTTTATTAGTTAGATTATAATTAAATCTGGAAATCTATGGAAAGTTTACAATCATTTATTAAAAAATACCATTGCTATTCTTATTTTTATAGGTCACATACATACCTCAGCATTTATGTCTGATTATTACGTATACGTAGTGTTGTCTATTCTTGAAAATTATATAAATATTCCTATTAAATACTATACATAATTATATAATTATCACAATATATATAATAATTGCTTGTTAGTGGTGTTTCCCTTATTAAAAACTTAATTTCTTATATAATTATACAAGAAAAAAGATGATGTAAAAGGCAAACACTATTAGATTGTGAGAATAATTACCAGCGAAATGTGTTACATGAAAATGCAATAATGCAAACGATTCGTTTGCTTGATCAAGATGTAAAACAATTACATACCATTTGCATAGGCTAATTTATTCAGTTAGCCAACTGGAAGATCTGGCTGGATCCGTTCGCTCCTTCATTACCATTCTCGTCCGTTGAGGCGACGCCAGACAATGTGGCACCAGCAGGCCCGATCGGAAACTATATACCCGGCTATATCTAGCCACATATCCACTCGTTCAGGTGGCTCTCCAGTCCAGTAAGGCAACTTTTACTGCGGCGAAATGGGGGGGGGGATGTACTGGGGGTAAATGCAAATTCCTTAGCGGGCAACTCGATCAGACTTCCCTCGATTTGATTTCGGACTGAAGTCGAGGCTGCAGCTAAAGCTGAAGCCGAAGCTGATCTATGCGGCATGTGGCAAGGCAGTTTGGGGCAGGTATCGGTATGCAAATATGCAAATGTCAGGTGCAACTACCTCCCGAAACCTCCTCCTGGGATCCGAAGAAAACGCTGCCAAACGGATGCAGGCCAAGTGGAATTCGCTTTCCCATTTCGATTGGCCTTCATTGGCCATTGGTTTGGTGGACCGAAGATCGAAGACCGAAGACTGGAGACCCCGAAGACCGAAGACTGGGCAGCCGAAGACTGGAGATACTGGATTGCCGTTTCGTTTTTATTGGCAACACGTTTGTCAGGTGCCAGGTGCCAGTGGAACCGTTAGGAGCCCACCCACAAGGCTGGCCAATGGATTTCGGGATGGTTTTGGGTTGTAGGAGTTCAAGCAATATATCTATATAATACGGAACCCCTTAACCTATTATACACAACTTTTATTTATGGTTCCCTACTTAATCTTACTTACTTAAACTCTTAACTTACTAATTCTTTGTAAATTCCTATACCCATTGCAGTTTAGTTTAGTCATAGCTGGTAATGAACTGTGGCCCATGGAGCGGCCAGACGGTATGCCCAATATCGTTTCGCTGGAGGTGATGTGCGGCAAGGATCACATGGATGTACACCTCACCTTTTCGCACCCATTCGAGGGCATTGTCAGCTCCAAAGGTGGGTTTATACTAGCCCTTAAATCTATTATATAGTAATATATTTGTATAATTATCCCTGAAGGACAACACAGCGATCCGCGCTGCGTTTACGTACCGCCCTCCACGGGCAAAACATTCTTCTCCTTCCGCATCTCGTACTCCCGCTGCGGCACCAAGCCGGATCTCAACGGACAGTTCTACGAGAATACGGTGAGTTATCGTTACCCTCTATGAGATGAAAGTTCTTATCATATTATATTCCTCTTCCTCTTCTTTACCAGGTGGTGGTCCAATACGACAAGGATCTGCTTGAGGTTTGGGACGAGGCCAAGCGATTGCGCTGCGAGTGGTTCAATGACTACGAGAAGACGGCCTCCAAGCCGCCAATGGTCATAGCCGACCTCGATGTCATCCAGCTAGATTTCCGGGGTAAGTTCTCTTCTCTAATCAATGGGGATAGGTAAATAGAAAAAATATGAAACTATATGATTAATTTTTTGATAATCTTTGGCCATTATCATGCTAAGCCACATATCAATGTAGAAAATGTTTAACATCTATATCAAATTATTATTTTATACAGTATAACTTTCTTAACTTAAAATTTCTCTTATATTTTATTCAATTCTTGTCCCCGAAAGTCCAAACCAATATTTGTCTTGCGCATGATTTAACATCTATAAGTTAAATTTTTTTCGCGCTCGAGTAGTATAAACAACTGAAGTTTATTTATGTTTATATGAATGACAAACAACTTTTGGCTTTTTTAAAAAAGGTTAAAGTAATATTATGTTCTTAGGAATTGGACGATTATAAATGGTATCAATGCCGTTCCTAAGCTTAGACTTCATTTAGCTGTTTTAGAAACATAAACAAATATTGATGAACGTATCTAAACCTATCCAAACATTTGACGAGGAAAAATATTTTTTCTTTAACTTGACATCTCTGTATTTCATTGGACTTCGAGTTATAGAGGTTAGACTTTAGCATTAACATTTTTTATTATATTATATTGATATTACTCACTTTAAAAATAGATATTCTATTGATACATCTTATACCAAATTTGTTATCCTCTAGGTGACAATGTCGACTGTTGGATGGAGATTCAGCATGGCAAGGGACCCTGGGCGCCTCCAGTGAGTGGTATCGTACCACTTGGCTCTACTTTGACCCTAGTGGTGGCCATAAATGACTATCGAGGTGAGATTGGGCGACTTTGGGGACTCCTTATAGATACATACTAATCCTAATTTGATTTCCTCCAGGTGAGTTCGACATGCGCGTAAAGTCCTGCGTGGCCTCCGATGGATCGGGTCATGTGATCAACCTGTCGGATGAGTTCGGTTGCGTGCTGCGACCCAAGATGATCTCCCGCTTCCTGAAGGCCCGTGCGCCCGACGAGCGGGCCACCGTGATCACCTACGCCTTCTTCCATGCCTTCAAGTTCCCGGACGCCCTGAGTGTGCACATCAAGTGCAAGGTGGAGATCTGTCGCCATGGCTGCCTCGATCATTGCCAGAACACGGGCGGTGCAGGTGGAGGTGGATCCGGCGAGTCCCTGGGCCTGGGCCTGGGTCTGACCAATGCCAATGAGCGCAAGGATGTCCACATGTCCGATGCGATGGGCAGCAGCAGCAATGATCTGCTCAGAGATCTGGCCCTGCCGCCGGGCGGTCAACATGGCATGGGCATGGGTATGGGCATGGGCATGGGTCCGGATCACGATATCTTCTATGAGGACATCATCCATGATCACAAACAGACGCTGGGCGGCGGCGGCGGTGGTCTGCCAGCTGGCGGAGATTATGGTCATGAGAAGAGCGTTCATCTGCAGCCGCGACCAGTGCACGAGGATCAGGATGAGGCCGATCTGTCGGATCTGTTTGGCGATGAGGACCTGGCCGACTTGGACATGGAAGGAGGCGAGGGCGAGCGCTACTTGGGCCTGAAGAAGAGTGGCAAGTTCCCCCATGGTCCCAGGCAGCTGGAGGCCCAGAAACGCATGGGTGTGCCAATGGCGGGACCCCGTTCGCTAGAGCCCCATGGCCAAAATGATGAGGATGTGCCCAGACCAGTGTACAGGCCACAGGCGGAGGCGTTGAAGAAGCCACGCGAGGATCACATCGATTTGGACAAGGAAGAGGAGGCGGAGAAGGAGAAGGAGGAGTCGGAGGCGAAGGAGAAGAAGAAGGATCAGGATAAGGTTGGGGATAAGCTGGCTGGCGAAGGAGGAGCTGCCTCCAAGAGCCGACGCCGCCGATCCCTGGTCATTTCCGATCGCAAGGTGCGCAGCGCCGACGTGGGCGTCAGTGGGCTGTACGATGTCATATCCGAGGCGGACCTGGCCTTCTCGCCGGACTCCAAGCAGGAGGCGGTCACCGTCTTCCAGGGCAAGATCAGCGAGGAGGTGGTCTACGGCATTTGCATGCCGGTGCCGGGTTTCAGCATCCTTTTCATCGTGGTCATCTCGGCGACGATTGTTTCCGCTCTGGTGGCCGGATCCCTGCTATATCGCTATCAGCTGCAAAAGGAGGCGCTGGAGAAGCAGACGCCCATGCCGCCGGTCACCGGAACTCTGGCCTCCTGGATGACCCTGCGGCTCTTCCGAATGCGACACCTGCAGCAGCAACAGCAGCAGCAACAGCAACAGCAGCAGCAGCAACAAGTGAGGCAGCCCAGTTCAGGACACGAAACAGTTCAGTGATCAGCAGCCAGGATCAAGATCAAGATAGGAATCGGAATAGGAATCGAAATAGCTATCGAAATCGTAATCGCAAACGCAATCGCAATCAAAATCGAAATGGAAATGGAAACAGAAACGGAAACGGAAATCAAAAGCAAAATCAAAACATGTTGCCCACACGTCTATGCCTTCCATTATTATTATTATTTATTATGATTATTGTTTTTTTTTTTGTATTATTGGGTTGTTTGTTCAGGATCCTGATCCAGACAAAGAGATATATAGTATGGTGCAGATATCAGAGATCGGGCAACAATGCAATACTCGAACTGCTCGTTTCGGTGCTGAATGTTTTACAAATTTTTTTTTTGTATTTTGTTTTTTTGGGTGCATTTAGTCGTAAAATTGCATAGTAAAATGAAAACAATAGAGAAATGGAAAGTACACAAAGAGAGAGACACACAAATACAATGAAGACTCCGGACAGGTGCTCCAGGTTTAAGGAGTTGGGTGTCATCGCACATCCGCTAGGCGTAAGGGAACTTATTTATTTATACATATATCTATAACTTATACATAAAGAGATTTAGCTGTAAGCCGAGCGGCATGGAAAATTTTAAATTTAATGTTTTTTTCGGACACTTGTTTTGTTTTTTTTTTATTGTTTTGTGCTCCTTTCGGCATCGAAATCATTTTAGGGGGAAATTTAGTTAAATTATTCTATAGCCAAGTCGATCGTTTAGAAAATTCTCATACTCACACACATGCAAACACACAGACCTACTCACGCACACATACAAACGACTACCATTTTCCATTAAAAAACAACCAACAAAATAGAAATGCAATTTCTTGCATGCATATTAAAATTTAAGAGCAAATTTTGTAACTCGAAAATTTACAATTGAATAAAGTCTAGATAAGTTGAAAATAATGAAACTGAATTTTCATGTTGCATTTTAACCACTTACTTGTGGAATTAAAGGGTATATTGTAGTCGTAGGAAAGTATGTAAAAGGTAGAGGGAATCGATTTCACATTTTTAATTCACTGTAAATTTTATTTTACTTAAATTATCAATATCTATTGGCGTACCAATAATGATTCAAATCGGTCTGTTAGTTAATAAGTTAAATTGGTAAGCTGAGTAATGGGTATATGATAGTCGAGGCACTCGACTACAACTTGCTCTTTTATTTATATTACATAGTTTATAGTTTGTAATCACATTTTGTTTTTTTTGAATGGGTAATTTTCACGAGCAGCTCATCGATGTGTGTGTTTGCCGACCACTGTTATACACTGTACGTGTGGCGACAGAGCTCAAGCAGATCTATTCCCTATGCCCACTTAATGGGATGCTGCTAACCACTGGACTTACATATAAGTACTTAGTATACTTAACTATTAAAAATATTTTTTTTTGTGTTCCATCAAAGCGAATGCAACACTATGTTTGGAAGAAAGGTAATATATAGTGAATGAGCTGGTAAAGCATCATTTTGATCGATTTGCCTGCGCAACAAAGATCTCTCGGAAAGACAAGTAGGCTACTTCCTTTTCACTCTCCCACAGTTCGACTATTTTTCATTCAACTATAACAACCTCACTTGCTACATACATAACATCCAATAAATTCATATAGAAATTTATACATATATCTATAACCATGCCATCGCCAGGAGAAGCCGAGCTGCCGAAGGTTTGTTGTTCAGAGTGCTTAGCGAAGATACTCGAAGCGATGCAATCTCAGCAGGACTCTCTTATGACTGAAGAAGAATCCCCAAATGAGGATCATCTTTCTCCCGATGATAACATAAACGTGGTCATGGGGCTAGAATACCAGGAGATGTCCGATGATGATGTCATTATGATCATGGGGTTAAATGGCGACATAAACGAAGACGACGATACGTCTTCCAACGAAGACGACGATACGTCTTCCAACGAAGACGACGAGACATCTTCCAACGCAGATGACAAAAATGTTCTCCCCGGGGAACAGCCCAAGAATAATTAAAAATCAAGTTCATACAAGAAACCCCTACAACATCAAAAAAAATTAAAGATGTTGGTTCGTTTTTGTGGCAGCCTACAGAAGGATTACTTGAATAATCTCAATCCACCGGAGTTACGCATTCTTGATTGCCATTAAGAATGATTCGTTTCCCGATTACAGAACCGAAAAGTTCTGCAGCCCTCACCAAAAATTAAGGTAAGTGCATTTTTAAAAAAATCTTCACAATTCTTAACTACTATTATATATAACTATTTTATATATAATATAGAACTGGCAGCCGACATAATGGACTACTCTCATCAACACAACTGCCCTCTGGAACCGGAGTATCCCTGATGGAGGTGAACCAGTGCCAAGCAAAAAAGATGAAGGGATATCAATGCAACTAGATCATCTTAAATATTAAATAGTACATTACTTAAAAAGTACTGCTGACAGTACAGATTTTACCATGTAATAAAATGTACATATTTAAGATAGTCTGCCAATAGTGGTTATTCAGAGTCTGAATCAAAAGTAATAAAGTAATAGATCCTCATTAGGGACCTTTGTTCCAAAAATCATCAGATTTTAATCTATAAACATTAAATAACTTTTATTTTGTAATGTATTTTATTCACAAGTATGTGGAGAAGGGCGCCTCAGGAGATCCTTGCTTTGATCCTTCGAAGTCGTCCATTGTATGAAATTCTGAAATGTGGTTGCGATGTTTGATGTTTTGTGAAATAGGTGCTACACATGGAAAAATGCTGCGATATGTTATTTAATTCTAACATTTTCAACCAACCTCCCGATTTGTATACCCTTTACTCCAAGCAGGAGGAAGTTTTATTGACCCTTTAAAGTAGGTATATAAATTCCTAATCATGATCACTAGCCGAATCGCTCTAGCCATGTCCGTTCGTCTGTCCGTTCGTCTGTCCGTCCGTCTGTTTGTCGGTCCGTATGAACACTGCGATCTCGGAAACTACAAAGCAAACAAGTTGGGATTAACCTTGAAGGGGTTCCTACGAAAAATATCTTTAAGATACTCACCGTAAATATTGACCGTCCCTTTGAATGAATAAAAACCATATCGCTGCTAACCACTAGACTAACATATAAGTACTTAGTATACTTAACTATTAAAAATACTTTTTTTTTGTGTTCCTTCAAAGCGAATGCAACACTATGTTTGGAAGAAAGGTAATATATAGTGAATGAGCTAGTAAAGCATCATTTTGATCGATTTGCCTGCGCAACAAAGATCTCTCGGAAAGACAAGTAGGCTTCTCCCTTTTCCTTCTCCCACACTTCGACTACATTTCATTCAACTATAACAACCTCACTTGCCACATACATAACACCCAATAAATTCATATAGAAATTTATTCATATATCTATAACCATGCCATCGCCAGGAGAAGCCGAGCTGCCGAAGATTTGTTGTTCAGAGTGCTTAGCGAAGATACTCGAAGCGATGCAATCTCAGCAATACTGAAGAAGAATCCCCAAATGAGGATCATCTTTCTCCCGATGATAACATAAATGTGGTCATGTGGCTAGAATACGACGAGATTTCCGATGATGATGATGTCATTATCTTCCAACGCAGATGACAAAAATGTTCTCCCTGGGGAACAGCCAAAGAATAATTAAAAATCTAGTTCATACAAGAAACCCCTACAAAACCAAAAAAAAATTACAGATTTTTGTTCGGTTTTGTGCAGCCTGCAGAAGGATTACTTGAATAATCTCAATCCACCGGAGTTATGCATTCTTGATTGCCATTAAGAATGATTCGTTTCCCGATTACAGAACCGAAAAGTTCTGCAGCCCTCACCAAAAATTAAGGTAAGTGCATTTTTAAAAAAGATCTTCACAATACTTAACCATATTTTATAAATAATATAGAACTGGCAGCCGACGTAATGGACTACTCTCATCAACACAACTGCCCGGAACCGGAGTATGCTCATATGGAGGATCAGAAATTGACGATCCCTGATGGAGGTCAACACTTGCCAAGCAAAAAAGATGGAGGGAAATCATTGCTAATAGATCATCTTAAATGTAAAAGCATACATTACATAAGAGCTGACACAGTAAAGACTTTACCATTTAATAAAATGTACAAACTTAAGATATTTAAGATGGACATATTTAGGATACCAATTGTGGTATCACGTTCTAAATCAAAAATAACATATTGCATATTAATCTATAAATAATAAATAACTGTAATATATAGCTTCTATTTTGTACTGCATTTTATTCACAGCGATCTGGTAAATAGATACTCTGGAGATCCCTCCGGCTTGTTGTCAGCAGCTTTTTTGTCTGTTGTGGGGCCTTAGACGTCGAAGTCGTCCATTGTATGAAATTCTGGTAAATGGTTGCTACGTTTGATGTTTTGTGAGATTGGTAAGCACCAAATGGAAAAATGCTGTGTGTGATTGAATTTTTAAGAGTTTTAACCAACCTCCCGACTTGTATACCCTTTAATCGAAGTGGAGGAAGATTTTTCGTCCCTATAAAGTATATATATCTTCCCTATCACTAGCCATGTCCGTTTGCCTGTCCGTCCGTCTGTCCGTACGAAGACTGAGATCTCTCGGAAAGACAAGTAGGCTACCTCCTTTTCCTTCTGCCACACTCCGACTATTTTTCATTCAACTATAACAACCTCACTTGCCACATACATAACACCCAATAAATTCATATAGAAATTTATACATATATCTATAACCATGCCATCGCCAGGAGAAGCCGAGCTGCCGAAGATATGTTGTTCAGAGTGCTTGGCGAAGATACTCGAAGCGATGCAATCTCAGCAGGGCTCTCTTATGACTGAAGAAGAATCCCCAAATGAGGATCATCTTTCTCCCGATGATAACATAAACGTGGTCATGGGGCTAGAATACCAGGAGATGTCCGATGATGATGTCATTATGATCATGGGGTTAAATGGCGACATAAACGAAGACGACGATACGTCTTCCAACGAAGACGACGATACGTCTTCCAACGAAGACGACGAGACATCTTCCAACGCAGATGACAAAAATGTTCTCCCCGGGGAACAGCCCAAGAATAATTAAAAATCAAGTTCATACAAGAAACCCCTACAACATCAAAAAAAATTAAAGATGTTGGTTCGTTTTTGTGGCAGCCTACAGAAGGATTACTTGAATAATCTCTATCCACCGGAGTTCTATGATTGCCATTAAGAATGCTGCGTTTCCCGATTGCAGAACCGAAAAGTTCTGCAGCCCTCACCAAAAATTAAGGTAAGTGCATTTTTAAAAAGGATCTTCAAAATTCTTAACTATATTTTATAAATAATATAGAACTGGCAGCCGACATAATGAACTACTCTCATCAACACAACTGCCCTCTGGAATCGGAGTGTTCCTGATGGAGGTTAACCAGTGCCAAGCAAAAAAGATGAAGGGATATCAATGCAACTAGATCATCTTAAATATTAAATAGTACATTACATTACAGCTGGCAGTACAGATTTTACCATGTAATAAAAATGTACATATTTAAGATAGTCTGCCAATTGTGGTATTTAGAGTCTGAATCAAAAGTAATAGATCCTCATTAGGGACCTTTTTTCTAAAAATCATCAGATTTTAATTTGTTATGTATTTTATTCACAAGTATTTGGTGAAGGAAGCCTCAGGAGATCCACGCTTTGACTCTTTGAAGTCGTCTATTGTATGACATTCTAAAAAGTGGTTGCGAAGTTAGAAGATTCGTAAAATAGGTACTACACATAGAAACATGCTGCGATATGTTATTTAATTCTAACATTTTCAACCAACCTCCCGATTTTTATACCCTTTACTCCAAGCAAAAGGAAGATTTGTTGACCCTTTAAAGTAAGTATATAAATTCCTAATCATGATCACTAGCCGAATCGCTCTAGCCATGTCCGTTCGTCTGTCCGTTCGTCTGTCCGTTCGTCTGTCCGTTCGTCTGTCCGTTCGTCTGTCCGTTCGTCTGTCCGTCCGTCTGTTTGTCGGTCCGTATGAACACTGCGATCTCGGAAACTACAAAGCAAACAAGTTGGGATTAACCTTGCAGATTCTAGGGGTTCCTGCGAAAAATATCTTTAAGATACTCACCGTAAGTATTGACCATCCTTTTGATTGAATAAAAAACATACCACCTTTTTAAGGGATTCTAAACAATTTATTGAACACTTTCTCTTCTCACTCGCTTTGCTCGGCTTATAAAAGTAGACAAAAAAAATCGAAGATATATATAAGGCGGTATATATGCGGGTATGTATGCGATATGTATAAATCATTATGCAAATAAATAAGTGGACTACGGGGCGTACTAACTGATAAAAGTAGATCCAGGTGTCTGGGGAAATGGCTGACAGTGGGACGCAGAAGTATTCGGCTTAGTCTACGGCTTAAAGCGCTTAAAATATTTAGTGACTAATTCAAGTGTATATTTGTTATGCATGTGTTACATGTGTGTATTGTGTGTGTGCGTGTGTGTGTGTGCGCAAAATGTGTGTATGCGTGTCTACAAAGTCTTAAGAGAGTCTTACGAGAAATACTCTAAGTAATGAATTATATCGGCTCAAATGCTGAAGAAAGCTACAAGTGATTGTCAGATGGGTATGATGGGCTGATCATGGCTTAGCACCGTTTTACATGAAATAGAACCTAGGCTTAAACTAAAACAAAAATAATCGATAATCGACTGCCACCAAGGGAAGAAAGGAAGAAAGGAGTGGAAAAGACAATGGAAGTAGGGTTAGTGGTGTCGAGAAAAGGTTTTTAAAAGTAGAGTTTAAGGGAAAGGGAAAGGGAAATAGAAATGGAAGGTGAAGGAGAACCCAGTAAACGGCTTGAGTTAATGTTAAATGATTTGTATCAAAAATTATACTAACGAAGTGTACGCTACAAATTTAAGAGCCGCAGACGCAGACACAACTGTACCTAGAACCGGAAACGGAAACGAAAGCGCTAACGAAATGCGATGGCTAGTGATGGCACCCATGACAGTTACATTTGAGAATCAGGTTCTTTTAACTGGCTATGATAATAAAGTTGTAAATCCTTAAAGAGCAATCTAAGTAAGACACAAGGTAATATATTATCGCCAAATAGAAATAGTTTCCTATGGTTCATCGAATATTGGGCAAATGATTTAATATTTGATTGCTATTTTTGAAAAGAATGATATAAGACTGACTCAGGAAAAAGATAGCACCAATTTGGAATGAAAACTTATAAAAGGTGTTAATTATTTATGATCTTTAAAATGCAGTTTTAAAAATGATAAAGCGTTATTAAAATCTTAAGATATTACAAATACTTTGTATATTAATTCATGCTATTTAGTTCAATATTATATAATTTAAAAATGGAAATATTTTTTATGAATATTTAACTGATGGTGCTATCTTCCCTAGGCTCTAACTAAAACCGCCAAGACCTGATCCCCTGGAAACCATCACTTTGGCCAGTGCCCAACCACCGCCGGAAATCGGCAGACGTCCCCCGCCCACGGAACTAGTTCCAGTCGCACAGTCGGGGGCGTGCTCACGACATCGCCCGCTTCTTGGAGAGCGTTCCCTGCAGATCCGCCGGCGAGGGCAGCTGGATGACGGGCAGCGGGGCCAGCTGGGGATTCGTGAAGGCGACGGCCCGCTCCTTGGCGCTGGCGGCGAACGAGGAGAACGGACGCAGTCGGACGTAGAGCACGGCGGAGGTGAGGCAGGACGTGATGAGGATGCCCAGGAGGACAATCAGCGTGATGGCGAAGCCCGGCGTGGTCATACAGATCAGCCCCTCCTCTCGCAATGGGAATACCATGGTCTGTGGACTGCGATCCACACCGGAACCGCCATTGGATGAACCATTCGATGAGCTGCCATTACCATTTCCTCCCGCCTGTTCGTCAATGGCAAAGGTCAGGTCGCCCGAGGAGACCACCTTGATGATCCTGTTCAGACCCACCTGAGGTTCGGCCACCGCTCGAGCCCTTCTCTGCACCCTTCGCTCATCCCGCCGCTTGCCAATCGCACTTGCCACATGGTAGGCATCCACATGCAGCTGCGGCGGTGGACCATACTGCGATTCCGGACCCACCTGCAGATGGTGCACATCCTGGAGATTCGTCTCCGCCGAACACTGCTCCGGGCAGTGGTAGCGACAGATCTGAATGGTGCACTGGAAGTGAACCTCCATCGAGTCGGGGAACTTGAAGGCCTGGAAGTGGGCATAGGACAGAACGGATGCGGAGGCCCCAAAGTTCTTGATCTTCGTAAAGCGGGACATCAACTTGGGTCGAGTGACGCAGCCCCTTTGGTCCACCAACTGTATAGGCGCCCTCTTGCCATCGTGCGCCACACAGTTCCTCACCAACATATCAAACTTAGAGTCATCATCCTTGATGGCCAGCACCATGGTCATTGTCTGGCCAATCTTCACCAGTCCCGAGACCTCGGAGGCCCATGGTCCCTTGCCCACCTGGATTTGCATCCAGCAGCCCACATTATCGCCAGCGAAATCGGCCCTCACCACATCCAACATATCCACGGGGAAGGGTCGGAAGGTCACACTCTTCTCGTACTGATCATGCCACGTGCAACGCAGCTTCCTGGCCTGATCCCACACCTCCTGCACCTGCGGATCGTACTGGATGACGATGATGTTCTCGAAGTAGGTTCCTGCACCAGTGCTGCCCGCCTCGTGGCCATAACCTTGGCCATAGTTGTCCGTATTGCCAGCGGTGCCGCACTCGTGGAGTCCAATATCAAAGCTGGCCGAGCTGCGACCCAAACCCGAGGGCAGATGGACGCAGTTCATGTTGCTGTAGTGACCCTTGGAGAAGACGATGCCATTGAAGGGCTTGTCGAACTGGACGAACACTTTCATGCCGTTCTTCTCGCACTTCACGTCCAGGGACACGATCTTGGGCATGTCCTGGACGGGAGCCGCCCAGATCTCATTGTTGCTGGAGGCGCCCACACTCAGATCGGGCACTTGGACCTGCTGCTGCTGACCCTGTTGCTGCTGCTGCTGCTGTTGCTGCTGCGGTTGCACCTGCAACTGCAACTGCGGCGGGGGTTGAGGTCGCTGTTGCAGCTGCGGCGGCGGCGGTCCCTTGTAGAATTGAGCTCCGGGCGGCGGAGGAGGTCCGAAGGGCTGGCCAAAGCTCAGCGGAATGTTCTGGTGGTTGTCTGTGGGTTGAGCGGGAAATTGAAAAACAATCAGCATTAATTAACTAAATAAATTATATAAAAAATCAAGAGTGTCACATTTTAACTAAGATAGTCCCCAGTCCTCACTGAAATTCCTAGAAACAAAATTTTAATATCTAATCAAAACCTAGTCAGGTTAAAATCTTAATGGCTATAGCAACAGGTTAGTGGTAATCTGCTCCTAATTCAGAACATAAATAAATGTATAAATGACTACAGATTTAAAGATAATAGTATATGTTCTATAATATCATCTTATTATAACTTTTAATTAGTACCAAGCCACGTAAAATTGTTAATTTAAGTCTAGTTATTAATAAAAACAAATACAAATTTAAGCAAAAGTGTTTAAATTATTTAAAATGTATATTACATTATTAATCAAGGTAAAGAAAACGCTTTATAAGAAAAAAAATTTCAAGGTTTGTTTTTAACCAGGCTGTACCAGGTATATCTAAGATATATCTTCCTATATTTTGTATTTTATCTAACCATTTATGGGCGATATCTCAATATCATGTTAACATTCGTCGCTCAGTTAACTGGACTTTTCGGAAACATTCAGTTTCTAAATATCATGTAAGTAATTATTTAACCACAGGAAATTTTCTAGTTAAAGTTGAGTTGAGAGATAACATACTTTATAAGGATATGTCATTCGTAAAATGTATATCACATTGAGAAAGCTTAACTTAATGTTAACTTTCTCTGGCAGTTAGCAAACTAGCACCTTAACATGACATTGAGAAATCGGCCCTTAGGTATACGGTATTCGGTTATGATTTGGGAGATATCCCTGTACTCACTGCGCATGGTGAGGCCCACGGCCACATTTGGTGGGGGTTGTGGCATGTTGTGCTGGTAGTGCACCTGCACCTTGGGCACCGACTGGGGCAACTGCATCTGAATCTGTGGCAGCTGCTGCTGCTGCTGTTGCTGCTGCTGCTGTTGCTGCTGCGCCTGGGCCTGCTGCTCCTGCTCCGACTCCTGGGCCATCTGGTCCAGCTCGTTCTCGTGGTCCCCCAGAGCGATGGTCAGATCATCGTCCGGACCACCGGCAATGGCCTTCACCACCTCCACATCGTCCGCGCAGACGAGGGCGACCTGTGACCCCATTTCGGTGGGGGTGGGGAAATGGAGATGATGAGAAGAACGGAATGATTTCAGTTGGGGAATGTCAAATGGAATGGGCGCAGTGGCAAGTGGCAGGCGGCAAGCGGCAAGCGGCAGGTTGCAAGGCGGATGCGGCATGCAACTCAATTGCATAAGGCAGCAAAAAGCCACTGGCAGCGAAAAGAAAGAGGGAAAAGAGAAAAAACCGCAGCCACTGCAACAATTTCGCTTTTTTCTTCTTCTGTTTGCCAAGCAGCAAGACCAACAACCAACAACCTCACAACTCTTCGTGTGCCACATGCAACGTGCGGCGACCCAATTGCCAGGGAGATCCGCCTGGCTTAAAAGGCGATGTCAAGGCTAGAACCAGACCAGACCAGGCCAGACCCGACCAGACCCAACCAGACCAGACGACAACACAAACAAAAGACCAAAGACCCAAGACACCAGACATCGACTAAAACCAAGACCAAGACCCAGATTGAGATCGCGATCGACATCCAGTCGGAATTGCCGGGTTGGGATCATGGCGATGTGTACCCGATAATAGCCGGGTAACAGATTAGATACAATCTAGATGAATTACATGCCATAGGATGGGTGGGAAGAAACATCTCCTCATTTACTACTCAAATATTTGAATTCTAAATGGTTTGGAAAGAAATACAGAAAGCTTTACTGAGCTATACTATATTCTGATGATAAAATGCACTCCATAGATTGTGAGTAAAGCAAGTTGTTTGTTTTAATTCCCCTAAAGAAATATAGTAAATAAGTATTTATAAAGATCTCCATATTTTAGAAAAATAAAAACTGTCTTTATATTTGTTAAACCTTTTAAGCCACAGTTTGTATTACTACGATATATAAAAAAGCATAGAACTTCATTATAAATAAAAAAGGTTTAAGGTCTTCAAAAACTAAAATGGTTTATGGTTTTATGATCATACAATCGATCTAAAACATAAGTATCTAAAACTAATCTGCTTAAATGGACTTAAAAGACTATATCATCATATTATATATATCACATATATCATCATATCATAAAGATCATATATATCATCATATCACATATATCATCATATTATATATACCATCATTACATAGAGATCATATATATCATCATATCTTACATATCATCATACCATATATACCATCATATCATGCCTATATATCATCATATCATAAATATCAACGTATCATATATATCATTATATCATTATATCACGATCATATCATATTTCTTTATAGTTCAGTCCCATCTTTGATTTTCGATTATATATCAACGCTGTAAAATTTGGTGTGTTGAATGCAACCCATCCATACTTTCTAATCAAGATTCCCATTTCGCATCCCGTAACTCCCGTGCATCCATCTAGCCAACTGTGAGATCTGCTAATAAACTTAATTAATTTTCCATTACTTTCTTTTTGCGTCCTTCACTCGGTGTGTTTGTATGTGTTGGTGTTTGATTTTGGCCAATGGCCATGTTCCGGGTGACCAGGTCTTAATTTTGCCTGGCCATTCAGGAACATCTTGATCCGCAGCGATGGCTTTGCCATGTATATGTCGCCGAACTGGACTGATTCAGTTACCAAGTTGCCAAGTTACCAACTTGCCGGGCTATCTTGGCAATTAGACGAGTGCCCGAAAAGGGGAGCCAGGGGGGGAGTGGCACTGGAGCAATTGCGGACAGGTGGACGATGATGGCCATGGCCATGGCAATGGCAATGGCAATGGCGATCATGGCCAAGATACCCATACCCATTGAGATATACCCCATACCCATATACCCATACCCATGATGAAGATGCCCAGCGAAGATGGCGAGGCTGCATCCCATTTGGCCAAATCTGTGCCGCACCGCCGAAAACAACTTTCTCCGCCAACTGGGAAGCTGAGAAAATTGAGCATCTGAGTGTCTCAGTGTTTCGGTGTCTCAGTGCCTCAGTATCTTAGTATCTTGGTATTGCCTTGGCTGTTGTTTTCTTCTCTTTTTTTTTTTAGTAGTCTCAAGATGGGATGTCGCAACGGCGGCGACGGCGGCATCCTGAAGCAATCCTGTTTGGTAGAAAGTGATGTGGCAAGCGCGGCAGACGATTGACGACAAAAAAAGGTAGATGGTAAATGCTGGCTGGCGAGATGCTACGATGGTATGATGGTATGATGGTATCCAACGAGTTGCCCACGAAACGAATCCGAAAAACCCACTGCTAAAAATTCTATAATCAAATTTGCATGCGGGCACGTGATTTGGAGCGACTGCAGAAGCAAGCCATGAATACCAAAAAACTACACTTAAATTCCAGCAATCGCACAGGGAGAGAAAATATCACAGACTATATATAAGAATATAAAAGAAAAGTTGGGAAAAATAAATAGTATTAATCTGATTATGATCTTAACTATTTCAGATGCTAATATCTTGATCTTCTTCTATTTTACCAACCAATTATGGTGTTAGAAAAATGGTATTGTATTATAATGAGTAACTTCTATATATAATTTAGTAATAATTTAGTAAAATTCTTATAGCCATTTAACTTTTTTATTCAATATAATTTTAAACATTATGTAAACAAAGCCATATAATAATGTAGGAATTCAAAAAATCGATATTATTTTTATAATGATGCTTGATCTAAGTTTACCAAATAAAATCAATTTATCCGGTATATGTTAAGCAAGTAATTTTTATCACTTCATTATTAAGTGCAGTAAAACCCAAAAGTATTTCCCAAATGTTAGGGCCTTTACAAATATTTTTTAATGTATCTACCATGATAAAAGATGCATTGTTACTTCGCCACATGCAAAATTCAATGTATACCCCTCAAAAATATCTTAAATTCTGTTCCGGTTCCCAGCTCATATGCTATAAACTAATCATCCCAAGAGAACTGCGTTAATTGAAATGTGTGCCAAGTGCGCTTCACTGTTTGGCAATTTTTCAGCGGGGAGTCGTGAGTTTCCATCCCAATACCCCAATACAACACACCCCACCCCCCACACACACTACACTTCAGTTTCCGTAATCCCCAATGGGGAAGACTAATGATGTGACTAAAGACTAGAGACCAAAGACGGAAGACAGAAGACCAAAGACCAAAGACGAAACCGGCTGTTGTTGGCAATCTTGACCTCGACCAATGTGCTAGGCTCTCTTTATGGGACCTCGGATTTGGGATTTGGACTTTGGGAAGAGGCTGTGGCTGTCTGCCTGGCAGCGCACCAAATCGGGAGAAAGTGAAACATTAGCAGAGAATCGGAATTTGGCAGCCACTTGGCCCCGAGGAGGAGGAGGATGGCGGTGGTATGGTGGACTGGTGGACTGGTGGAGGGTCAAAGGTGAACGCCAGGCCGTTTGGCAGCATTTCTCGACCCCAAGATGAAAGCGAAAAGGAAGCGAAAAGTGGAGATGATGCTGCCACCACATGCTGCCGCTTGTTAAAGGAATGGAAACTGTTTTTTTACCGACTTTTTTTGGCCTGGCTAAATTGTGTCATCGCCCCAGAATGGCCAAAAAGCTGCAAAAAAAAACTTTCTAACCTCACGAACGCTGGGCACAAAAGAGATTCGGGCCGGGGATGGGTATTACCTAGGCAAAGTGGATGCACATGGAATTTTAATATGTGCCAAAAGGCGAAAAAGAGAAAGGAATGATGGGGATGGCCAACGAGATGGGCATGCACTTCAAACAGAACTCGTATATTGCTTCATTTTATTTTCACTAGGAATTCCTTTTCATGTCAATAAAGCGACCTAAATGATATGACCTACCATTACAATGTGACTATCTGCACTTTTTCAATTAAGACATTGATTATGTTAATTTAAAAAAATATTTAATAAGTCCTCACAGTTACTATCTAATAATTATATTTGCTCAATATTATGGAACTAAACTTGGATCAATAATACCTTAATTATTAAAAAGCTCACGTGATTTAAGAAGAATTTTTCTGTCTAACATTATTTCCATTCATTTAAAGATTGTTAAATACCACGAGCTAAACTCGCTATCTTAATTAAAACGTTGTCTTCGCAACATTAAGTTTCTAAATTCCCCAGATGACATCCACGATGTGTATCCTTTCCATTACCCGCACTAATTACTCGATTCCCCGTTACTTTTCTCGCTGGTCACTTCGATATCGCATATGTACCCAACATATATACTCCTGATTGGTTCCAGGAACTAAAACCAGCACATGTAACACTCGCACACTCTCGAGAAACGAGGCCATGCCAATTACACGTCCCATCCCAACCTGTCCCATTCCATTGCATTCCTCTTCATTCCGGCAGAGGCGCTCTTTCACTTGCACACAAGGCAGACGACAGGCAGACAGGAAGAGAGAGGGGATGGGCTTGCGAAAAGCGAGAAAGAGCAGAGGCGCCGAAAGAGGGGCGTAATATTATTCATAAAGAAATATAGGAGAATCTTACTATATTGTCAGTATGATAAATTGTTTTACTGATATCCATTGCTGATATATTTCAGCCCCCTTAACCTCCAATCAGAAATAAATATAAATAATGGATTTAATCTGGTAGTTTTCAAAATCTTTCTTATAAACAAAAAACTTCTATATTTTCACATAAAAAGTTTTTGTAAGCTAATAAAGAAGTAGGAAAACATCCCACAGCCTCTAAATATCAGATACAAACACTCCCAGTTTTAGAAATTTGTTAAAACCACTTGGTCTTACCAAAAAACTAAAAAGCTGCTGCTTAAATCAACACCCTATCCCCCTTAATGAAGATCTTCGTACGCCTCTGAAAAAAGAGAAGCCTAAGCCGGCTGCTGCTAATGGGAATTATCTATTTATAAGCTGGTGTTGCTGCTATGGCTGCTTATGTTGCTTATGTTGCTGTTGTGTCTGCGGCTTTTGGCTTAAATCGATTTCAATTATTTGCATCGGCTCAACTCACCTGCAGTGAAAGGAAAATGATAAGCGGCAGCCAAATCTTCTTAGCACCGATTTCTACGTTTCTTCGTAGATTTCTGCAGCGCACTTGTTTGTGTTGTTGCTGTAGATGCTGATGTTGATGTTGCATGTTGCTGCCGTTAATGTGGTTGCTGCTGGTAATGCTGCTGCTGCTGCTGCTGCTGATGATGTATCTGTTTGTTAAGCGTATAATTAATTTGTTTATCATTATTCGATAGTTAGTGTTGCTGTGGGCGGCCAAAGAAGCGGAGAAAGAAGCGGAAAGCGGAAGAGAGAACGCCGAGAAGAAAGTGCTTTTCGCTTTTATTTCTTCTCATTGTTATGGTTACCTGCTATAAGAAAGTGTTTCCCGCTAATTGCAATTTATTAGCAATTTCTCAGTCAACTCAATGATGATTGATTGACTCGCTAAGTGTTGTGCCCCCTGTACAACACACCTTCCCCCACACACCTTATCAACTGACCAACAGTCCATAAATGAAAAGACTGAAGAAGACTGACAGGCAGAAAGAAAGAAAGGGAAGCTGCGACAAGTCAAGAAAGAAAAGAATCTGTTTAATGACAACTCACTTAACTTTTAAGACGCTGTAGAAAAGGGTAACTGGGGAGGTGAAAAGTGTTAATAGGTTTCCCCATAAGTGAAGTGGGTCATCGTGGCCCAGACAAATATGAGTGCTCTTAGTTGGCCAATTAGAAGACCAAAAACAGTGACAAAGGTGTGAGGAATTTCCACAGAAAGAGAGAGTGAAGAAAGAGTGAATGCAAGAAAGATGCGGCAGAACTTTGGAAGAACTAAGTGAATTCTACGTTCATTCTTCATCGACCTTGACCATTGTCCACTATTTTTAACTCCTATTCATCTTAGTCTGACTCTAACCAAATAAAAGGGTTTTATTGTTTTTAAATCCGAATTTATGATGATAAATATCATTCTAGTAATGGACTAGCTTTAGTGATCTTCTTGAATTTCTTATGTATATTTTTATCTCATAATAGTTATATAAAAACATAACTATTAACATTTAATTTTAGCGTTAATTAACATTTAATAGCCTTAGTGAAACAATATCATGCATTTTACTTCAATTTTTAAAACATCAATAAACAGCTGTAATATCCTTGTTTAAAATAGTTTGATTGACATTTAACAGATATTAAAAGAAAACAAAAAGACTGTTAATTAGTGTTTTCACTTTTACGACCACTCGGTAAGTATTTCAATTATTGAGTTGCATTAATTTTTATATTACTTGTGTCTAAGAGAAATTAAGTCATAGCAATCGAGCATTTAAATGGTTTGAAGAATCATAGCTTCAGGAAAACAGTATTGTTTTTATAGTATCTTTTGAAGTTTTTTATGATTTAAAACCTTTTTTACAGTTTAGAAATGTAAATGTACTAGCACTAACGATGATACAAAAATAAAAACTAGACAAGCATTTTACAAATTTAAAAGTTTAGGATCTTTATTTAGTAATTTATATATATCAATATTTTCCTACAATCACGTTAAAGAAACTCATTTATTTCCCTGGAATGATAATTATTCAAGGAGGCAAAACAGCTAGAAGTCTTTTCAAAGGATATTCTAGATATAAAATGTCTAAGGCCGCTAGGAACCATATTTTATACCTCAAGGTAAAATATTAACATATTTGAACGTAATGGAAGGTGAGATCTCATAAGATCAAATAAATATCTTTGCTAAGCCATTGAAAGTGAAATCCGAAATAAGTTCCTTAAAAGCTTACTAACATTGATATCCGTTAATCTTTCGTTGAATATCACCCTATCTATATATCTCCATATATGCATTTGGAAACTTTTAACATAAGATCTCTCTCCAAACGTTTCATCCCTCAGTTCCGCTTCTTATTATACCGCTACTTCCGGGTTTGGGATCCTCACCTATTCGGTCCTTGGCCCGATTCCGACGTTTCCCCTGGCTGTTCCAGTTAAAGTTCCGATTCCAATTCCAATTCCAAATTCCGAAGGCTGACAAACAGGATGCGTTAGCGGCAACTTTCGAAAACGGTTGCACTCGAACGGTGGCCGTTACTTCTGCCCGCTGATGTTGCTGCTGCTGCTGTTGCTGCTGCTGTTGCTGTTGCTGCTGTCCGCTGATGTTGCTGATGGGTTGACGGTAATGACAGCAGCGGGGGGCGGAGGGGGGCGTTGCACGCGGTCAACAATTAACGATCGCAAGTGGAGCACACACAAAAGAAAATACCAAAAAAAAAAAAAGGACACAAAAAGCGTGTTGATCACTTTGCTAACCGTTTTGCAAGCGGTTCTTTCCGTTTCGCTTGTGTATTTTTTTTTCTATTTTTTTTTTGTGCTTTCGATTTGCAACTAGTGTTTGCTGTTTGTTTTGCTCGGATACGCAGAGTGTTTTTTGTTTTTTTGCTTTTTCTTTGTACTTTTGTTTTAATTTTATTTTTTGTATTATTTGTTTTTTTATACGAGCCCGAGGATCGATCGATCGATCGATTGCTGGATGGATGGACCGCCTGGAGGAGGTGAAAGAGAGAGAGAAACGCGTCTGCTTCGCGCCGTGGTTTAGCGCCGAATGCTGCAGACACCTGCTTTCTCGCAGCGGAACACTTCGCATGCGCAGCAGCAGCAACATCGCGCCGTCGACGTCGCCGTCGGCGCCGGCAGCGAAATTTCTTCTTTCCATTGAGGCCTCCACTAAGGCAGTCGGCCAAGTCCAAATCCAAAATACGATACGCCAAGTACGACTTGTTCAAGTACAGCTTGCCGGTTCATGTTGCTGTTGTATGTTGTGTGTTGCATGTGGTTGTTGCTGCTGCATGTGGTTGTTGCCGCTGCACGTTGTTGCTACCGCATGTTGTTGTTGCTGCTGCAGCTAGCGTCGCTTTTTGGGCCCAGTGTTGCTGCTGTGACTAATGTTGCTGTTGTTGCTGTAGATGGTGTTGTTGCTGTAGTTGCTGTAGATGCTTTTGTTGCTGTAGCTGCTGTTGTTGCTGTTGTTGCTGTTGTTCCTGCAGTTGTTGCTGCTGTTGTTGCTGTGGTTGCTGCCGATGTTGTTGCTATCTTTAAGGTGAATATTGCTGGTGTTGTTGCAGTTTTCCTTGCTGATATTGCTGTTGCTCTTAGTGTTGCTGTTGTTTTAAATGTTGTTGCAACAATTCCTGCTATTGTTGTTGCTATTGCTATTGTTACTGCCCATGTTGTTGCAATTGTTTCTAGTATTTCTAAGGCTGATATTGCTGATGTTGTTGCTCTTGTCGCTGGTGATGTTGTTGGGGCTTCTAGTATTTCTGAGGCTGAAGTTGCTGTTGTCGCTAATGTTGTTGCTGTTGCTTCTAGTATTTCTTAGGCTGATATTGCTGGTGTTGTTGCTCTTGTCGCTTGTGTTGTTGCTGTTGCATCTAGTATTTCTAAGGCTGATGTTGCTGGTGTCTCTCATGTTGTTGCTGTTGTTCCTAGTATTTCTAAGGCTGATGTTGTTGCTGTTGTCGCTGCTGCTCGTGGCATGCGTCGTCGGTTGCTAGTTGCTGCTTGCTGCCTGCTAGTTGCTAGTTGGTTTCCCCACTCTTCTGTTTGTTTATACTGGGCAGCAGCTTCAACTTTCAGTTGCAATGGGTTACAGAAGCAGCAGACGACGACGACGGCGGTGACAATTGCATGGGGACAAGTCCTCTAACTGTTTGCACTTTCTATTCCCCTTCTGCCCCCACCGCCGCCACTGACCAAGGCCCCCCCCCCCCCCCCCCCCCCCCCCCCCCCACTCCACCATGATTGCCCACTGCCCATGCTCCAATTGTGGCAAGCAATCAAGCCGAGAAATGGGCGTGGGCGCCCTTTGATTGCCGCACGTTGCGTTGCTCCAGTGGGTGGTAAGTGGGTGTGGCAGGTGGTGCAGTGGTGCAGTTGATGCAGGTGGTTTGAGTGCTTTGGGTGGTGCCACAGAGCAACAAAGAGCATACCTTTAAGAGTGGAGAACAAACACTAAAAGGGGGATGGGGGGAGGAAGAGATATCGTGTTTTTATTTATACAGTCCCCTTGTGTTGTTTCATCGACTGTTCCACTTTTCCATAAAATATTTTTGCCAACTGCCGCATTTGGCATTGTCGAGCAACAACAAAAACTGTAACACCAACCACTGAGGCAACAACAACAATTGCTCTCGTTGAAATAATAGGATGAGCAACTGCAACAACGAAGGCAATTGATAACCCGAGGGCACAGTGGTGCAAAAGCATTGCAAAATATACAAAATTATTTGGAATATTATTCAGGGAGGTACAAAATTTTTATGGAAACAATTCATATATAAATCATTTGGGAAACCGAAATAAAGAATGTTTATAGTAATAATAATTTGACATATTTTTTAAAGTTAATAACATACCTATAGTGAAACCATTGGGTATATCTCTATTTTCAAAAATATTTATATATATTATATATTATATATTATATATATATATATTGTAACGTTTTTATTAATTTTTCATTATTTTTTGGTAATAAAAATCTCTAATCTTTAAATTATTTGCTAATTTATGTGTTAAATAATTTTTGGTAATCAAAATTAGTTTTTATGATCAAATATAAATAGATTAATAGTGGTTTTAAAGATATACATATGCCCAATTATTAATACACCATCTCAGTATGTGTTAATTTTTTAATGATCCATGACCAAAGTGTATTTTAATAATACCTTCTATGTATACACTTGACCCATGGATCAAGCTTCTGATCAAAAAGGAAACGAAAGTAACAGTTTAAGTTCCTATTTTATGATCCTTGTATATATATAGAGTATGCATTATTGCTTTTTATGAACCTTTAAAAGGCTACTTTAGTGTATTGATCTATATCTGTTAACGATCCATCGACATTTGGTGGTCCCAATTTCGGATGCAATAATATGTTAATGGGTCTCTTAATGACCCCATCGACCGGCTGGCGACCCACTGTGCCGGCATGACGATCCCGTCGGTTTTGGGGCCGGGCATTTCATCGCCATTTCAATTCCACTTTGCAGCATTGAGCTGAGTTTTTTAGGGGCGCCGCGTGTCTCCTCGCGATTCCTGTTTGCTAAATATGACCAAAAAGACCCGTTTCGAAATTGGAGTAATTTCGATTGGAATCACAGCGGTGGTGGTGGTGGTGCTGGTAGTGCTCCGGTTCCGCCAGAAAGTGGCTATCGTCTATCGCCGATCGGTGATCATGGCGTCTATCGGTCCGCGTTGCACATTAAGTAACACGCGCCATCCAGTCTGCCGTCTGAGTCTGCTAACTTGGTCAATTACTGGCGGTTTTGCATGAGCAAGTGGTTCCGACTCAGATTCGTAGTCCCCCATTTCCCATTCCTCATTTCTCATCTTCCCCCCGGAAGATCAGCCGGCTTGTTGGAGAGGGGCTTATGGTTATCATCTACCATATACCATATCATATGGAGAAGGGCAGCAGCAGCAGCAGCTTTGTCTGCTGGTCGCACGCCTCACGCATCTTAAGCGGCGTCGCAAGATGTCTTATTAAAAGTATCTTGTTACTTTCACCATCCACCGCCGACTTGAATTGCGCTTCAATTTCTCACAACTTTTTTTTTTTTTTCTTACAGGTAGGGGGGGGGGGATGGATGTTTTGTTGACTGACCAAATGTGGTGCTATGTTTTTTTATTTTTTTTGGTTGCAAAAGGTCTCTGGGTGAAAACATGATGACGCCGTTCCGCCAACAGGTCGAAGTACATATGCCTCGTCCATCGGGATTCTACGGTTCTACGGCTGCATCTGGAGCTGCTGCAGCTAATGCCACATACGAGTACATATCGTCGTACGCTGCCGGGCCAAAATCCTCTTCGCCACGCCGGTTTCTAGCCAACTATTTGGGTCGCTCTCACAATTTATTGGTTTAGTTTTCATTGCATTGACACTTCATCATCGCCGGCAAAACTGCCAGCATTTGTCATCTGTCGCGCTTGTTTTTCTGCTGCTGCTGTTGCTGTTGTTTCTGGTGTTGCTGGTGTGCAGCAGCAGCATGTTGCTGCTGTTGGTATAACCTTTCGGCTGTTTGGCCAGCGCCCAGAGGGGTTACAAGGTGGCAATGGCAGATCTCGACCAAAGTGAAAACGCCGCCAACAAAAACAAGTGCCACGGCAGCGGCAACAACTGCTGCAACTGCAACTGCAACAGCAATAGCAATGGCAACAGCAACAACGGCAAACAGTAGCAATAGCTGCCATTAGGCCATGAGAAGACACTTTTTGTCCGCTGTGGGTGTGGAAGTATTAAGCGAAGAAGCCGCCACCCAAGGGAGAAGAATTGGGTTAGAGCCACAGCCGCCTATGCACTGAGAAAAATTCCTAGCAGAAATATAATGGTTAACTTAAAAAATATTTTTGCCTTTATAATTCAATAAAAAATAATATTTTTAACATAAAAAAGATAGATAAAGAGGTCATTCTATTTTTTATACTTTAGATAGTCATTATAAATATATATGTAATCCTTAGGAATATTTATAATAACAGATATGATATATTTAAAAAACATTCATAATATTTTTTTGACATAAAAAATATAGATAAAGAGGTAATTTTATTTGTTAGACTTTAGATAGTCATTGTAAATATATAGGTAATCCTTACTAATATTTATAATGATGGATATGATTTATTTTGAAGCCTTCATTATATTTAATTTTCTAAAGAACCAGGAAAGAAGCGCAATAAAGATATATTATAAATATGTGGTTTGGGTAAGGTACTAAAAATTAAAAAAATAATATATCTAGAGGAAGATCTTCAGTTCTTAACTTTCGACCATATATACCATCATGTTTTAAATATATTCTTGTATAGGAACTAATCCAGAAATAAATAATTATAAAATAAAAAAGTAATAAAGTTTTATCCGAGTCGTAAGCCTCTATAAGCCTTTATATTAAATTCAAAATAGTGATTCATTTCGTGGTATTTTCTCGCAGTGCAGCCTCTATAAGCCTTAATGTTAAATTGAAACAGGTGATTAATTTCGGGATATTTTCTCCCAGTGCACGGCTAGTTGCAACTCATGCTGTCGGGGACTTAGAAAGCGCCTCCTTAGAATCCCATTCGGATGGGAACCCGCACCCCGCCATCCCCTTCGCCTGACAGACAGCTCGGAGTCGCTGGGAGAGCCACTTGTCTGCCTATCAATTTCACTTTCTCGCCTCGACAAGGCTCAAATAAAATTAAACGAAACGAAAGAAAATAAAACAACATTGAAAGTCAATTAGCCGCTGTCGAAAAAGATTCTTCGGTCGAACCAGTCCAGTACCAAAGCCAGTGCCCCCTTGCCAGTTCCACCGATCCCATACGATCCCATACGATACGATACGATACGATGCCAATACGATTCGATTCGATTCGATCCGCCTTGCAATTCGGCAATCTAAGCCAGCACACGCATGTATCTTGAGTATCTCAGTATCCGAGAGTATCCGAAAGTATCTGAGAGTATATCGCAGCATCCCAAGTATCCGAGTATCTTGGCCTGGGGCCATATCTTCAGCCTGG